CCGAGCTACACACTTTCCAGTGATGTCTGTGAGAAAGATATATTCACTCGACACAAAGCATATCTGCGCCGCCGTGCGCTGAATCTACTCAGCGTGATTTGTTTATCAGCTCGCACACATCAGCTATACAGGCGTTAATACTGAATGTTTAACATTATATTCATTGCATACATATACTTCGTAGTAGACATCCTTAACTCCTTTCTGCTGTCTGTTGTTCTGTTGTCAGTGTTTCTTTGTTTGAATATGGCGCTTATCACATGCTGTGTGGTATCGGCGTTTGGTATCGGGGCATTTTAACGAGTACGAGTATGAGTACAGGAGACCAGTATCGGGCCCGATACCCTGGTATCGGTATCGGTGCATCCCTGTTTTGAATGAAAAGAAAGTATAATGACAAAAAAGGGCATTAATTAAAATAAAGAAGTGTGATTTTTGTCATAAAGGAGCTCAACAGATGACAACTCAGATCCTTTGTCATTGTCATTATATGGAAATTTGTCAGTACATTTGATTGCATTTCTCATATCATTTGCTTGTCAATTACTGCAGCAGAACTGCAGTCAGAACCTGAAAACCAACACACGCTAATTCCATTGAACCCTTGCAAAGACTACTGGAATGTCGGCCAGAATATACCCGTCATCCGCCTTCCCTCGTCATTCTCTTTCTATCTCTGTGGTACTTCTCTGCATTTTTCAATAGCTTGCTCTTGGTCTAAAAACCAGCTATATGTGACTAGAACTAGGTTATGAAAGCATGTTTCTCAATAAAATCTCATTCAAAATGTAAAAGCTTGCAGTCCATATAAAGCTGTAACAGTAAAAGAGTATGCATGCATTTCTGAAGGACTGAGCCATGATATGCAGCCATGCATCTATTTATTTTTACCCAAGGGCTGGAATAACATTTCACTGCAACTAATCACTGATTGAATTGATGTCATATGAGAATTACTCACATCCTTAACACGCAATGCACCATCATTTCATCAGACTGAAAAGATGTGTACCTGTGCATCCATAAATTCATTCATTCATCCAACCGTGCTTGGGAAAAGCATGTTTCCATGTGGAAATAATTGCTTTGCATGGCACTAGGGTTTAAGAATGTTAGTGCACAGCTTATGCTGTTTAAAAAAATCTCCTGGGCAAATAATGACCATTGCAATGTTCCCCTCTCCTGTTCTCTCTCTCTCTGTGCTGTTTTATAGACCTAAAGTGAATCCAATTTTCTCCTATCAGCTCGGCAATGTTCTCACATCCATAATGACAACCTCCCAGTCCAATTACAGAAAATTAACGAAGCCTCATTGAACAATTCTAAATATTTAACGAGAGAGATCTCTACATGCTCGTAGGGCTGAATGGGGCCATCGCTGGTAGCAAATGTGCGTAAGGTTATGTGAGAATAAGATAACATTCTGGAAAAGCCTGGGACGTATCTACTCTTTTGTATTACCATGATTGATTTAGCAAAAGTCACTGTCAGAAAAAAAGATACAATGGCTGGAGCTATTAGGAGGGCAGTGTATGCATTCTTAGCTAGCTGTGCGGAAGTCGTACATCACTAGCATTGTCTCTGTGCTGAATTCAGTTCGATTTAAATGACATTCACCAACACTGATGGCAGAATTTGGAATCTCCACTTGTATTTGTAATAAAGACCCATAGCAATGTGCTGCTGACTGATATTATTGTAATTATTTTCATCACTGTTGACCCATAAACTGTATTTTGGCTTTGAAGGAATTCTCTCTGGTTGCTTAATACTGAAGCCAGAAAACAAACTGTGTCCATTTTTTTCTGGCCTGACAGCCCTCAGTCTGTTAGTACACACACTGATGCTATTACAACTGACCACATGAGAAGGAATAGACTAATATTTGCCTACTGTAGGATACTAAACTAAATTAAAAAGATTTTGTATTGTCAGTTACACCTGCATTCAAATAAGTTTTAGCCTTTAGCCTCAAATGGCCATATGTCAAATGACTATACCTGATGCATACTGTGCACAAAAATGTGGCCGAAATCATAATTGCAGTCTTTGAAAGATATCCAGGGTGTTGTTTGAGGCACTTACAAGTGAGTAAATTAAATATCTAAGGTAATCAGAATTTAAAAACAGAGGAAACGTGAATGCACAATTAAATATCCAGTATTGACTGATATTATACATTTTCATTTAGATTTATGCATTTGGCAGATGCTTTTATTCAAAAAGGCTCGCATTTTATCAGTTCTAGCTTTTCCTGGGAATCAAACTCATAACATTGCCATTGCTAGTGCTATGCTCTACTGTTTAGAAAGGCTCTTGTATCTTGTATTTTTAAGAAAAAAGTGTTGGTATTAGTGTGTTAGTTTGTGTTTATATGTGAATGGAGGGTTTTTTTATTGCTCCATTTGGCTGGCCTTTGCTTGTTGTATATTGGAAAGGCGGTAACATAAGGCTGTGAGTCTAAAGAGTGAGACAGGGATAGAGAGACACATACAAATAAAAAGTTATACTTATACTGGCTTTCAAGCAGCTGGCGATGAAACAGACAGACAGGCAGCAGTCACATAAACCAGAGTGAAAGAAGTAGGTCAGAACGATGGAGAAATGGAGAGAGAGAGATTGTCTTGAGAGACTCTGAGCTGGTGAGGAGAAGGAGAATGGAAATGATGGGATGAGTTTCATGCCCTCTTTTGTTTTCATCTCTATTTTCATCTCGGGTTCAGGGAGGAGATGGTGTGATGATGCCACGGGAGGCAAACAGGGGTCAGCTGGCACCTGAAGTGGTGTTGAGTGACATTGATTGTCAGAAGACTCTACTAAATTACGGGAAACACCAGACTCTATGTTATTCATGCTGAGAGATGTGACAGCACCATGCAATTTGATGTACATTGTGAACGTTTGTTCTTTCAGTTTTTCACACACACACACACACACACAGGTTTCCATGTTTTATGGGAACATTACATAATGTTTTTTCTACTGTACAAACTGTATTTTCTATGCTCTTTGCAAAACTTTCTGCATTTTTAGATTTTCAAAAAAAAGCATTCTCTATGATTTATAAGCTTGTTTCCTCATAAGGGACTGAAAAAGGTCAAAACACAAGGTGAAAATTTACTCTCCTTGTGGGGACATTTAGTCACCATAACAAAGGGAATACAAGTACACACACACATACATGCACTTTAGAAATCAACAAGACTATCAACAACATGTGATAGATTCATAACATTTTACATCATTTAACTTTCCTTATTTATTTTTATCATTATTAATATTATTTTATAATTTTCTTGATATGTTGGATGGGAAGCCAGCAGTACTTAAACAATCCACTTGTCAAAAATAAATAAATAAATAAATCAAGGCTTATAATATAAAAAAAATTTAAATTGAGTTTCTATGTCTAATTTATTTCTAATTAGTTTATCACTCATTAGTTAAAAAAAAACATTATTCATTAGCTTACAAAATGTTCTCAGAGATTCATTAGTTTCTATTTCAAATTAAAAGTTATTGCAGCATCTGGTATTACTTAATGTTTAATTGAAAAAAAAATCAGCACAAGATGATTGTCAATATTGGCATTTTTATTTTTAATGCAGGTGGGTTGTAAAGGTTTAAAGTTGTATATGATATGCACAATGCATCAGAAAGCAAAACCAGAATTAAAATGTTGCCCTTAATGCCCTGTTATTTTAGTTTTGGTTTTTTTCCCAGTTATGTTAGTTTTTGTTTTAATTTCAGTTAACAAAAATCTTTTCAAGTTTAACTTGTCTCTTTTAGATAAAGAAGGTGCTTCAGACATCACAACAAGCATTTTAGTTATGATATTTAATGAAAACAAGCTTTAGTGTTCAATGAAGCCCAAAATAAATGAGTCTAAACTGTGTGAAAATACAATATCACAATCACAGACATTTCTCAAAGGACCTTATACGTTGACCAAAAATCAGCAGATGATTTTCTCTGTAACTTTTGCAAAAGGTATGTGAGAAAACCAAAGATATGTTTATTTTGGATGGGATAGAAATCACAAAGTTCATTAATTTCCATAAAGCACAAATTTTAAGCGACTTACTCAGGAAAAATAATGACCCCTCACACCGGTGTACAGTATTCGATATTTAACAAGAAGTGTAAGCACTGCTCTGCTTTTTTGAGCTCAGAGATCATGACACAAAGGATCAAGCTAGCTGTGCAAATTTAGCTCATTAAAAGTAACAGGCTAATCTCCATCTAATGATCACCTCAACATCTGTCAGCAATAGCTCGCATTTGGAAACGCCACCTGCTTCAAAGACCAGGCCCATATGAACGGCAACCACCTGACAAACACAAGCCTTTTTCCGTTTCGCTGTTTCCTTTCAGGCTTTTTGCCCATTTTATCATTGAGATCATAAAATGGGCACAGACTGTGCTGTGAAACAATAAGCAGATTTATCAGTTATGAATATGAACTAGATTAAAGGTTGAATTAGAGAAGCGGCCCTGCTCTGCCAATTGAACAGATTTTGAGAGATAGTGACACAATGATTCTCTCCAACAAAGAACCTAGAGTGAATCAAATAAAAATAGCAAGTCATTTTTGCACAGCATTTGCTCACCCTCACTCTTGTGTGTTCAGGGTCAATGGCAGCGCTGCTACGCCAGATGGATTGGAGTGTGCTTGTTCTGCATTGTCAGCTGGCTGGTTGTGGTTGTTATTAGAATACAGAACAGCACATCCCTGAAAAGAAAAATTATATAATTTGCTGAAAAATTAACCATTTATTAGTGTTGATACGACTTTGACGTTTTTCATTTAGTTCAGTTGTCTTCCATAAAAGCTTGTATCAAATAAATAACAGTGCCTTTCTTTACTTCATCCTTTTTATATCTGAAAAGTCAAGGATCATGTTAGTTTACTGTGTTTTGAGAATAATGCTGATATTTATTGTACTGTACACAAACATGTGCTTAACCGTCTCATTTCCTTTCTGTCCCTCTCTCCATAGTTGACTCCGGCGCAGCCCTGTCGCGCCCACAGCGCCCCCTCTCGGCCCGGACGGCCCACCATGCCCCGGCCATGAAGGGCTACCAGGTGAGTCGCAGTTTGTCACAACACTCCTCTGGGCCTTGCTACCGCATGCCTGAGGACTGCGACACTGCACGGGACTATATGCACCACCCTGACCACTACCAGGGGCACAATGACCACCCCTACTACCCGCCTGGTGGGCCCCCTGAACCATTGGCCATGGTCCCATCTGGTGGAGGCACTTTCCCTCGGTCACACCCCAGTCAGCCACAGGCCTATGACTCCACCTGTGAAGAGTGTTTATCCTCTGCAGGGCATGGGCATGGTCATGGGGCAAAGATGCACCGTATCCCACCAAACCTTCTGGATCAGTTCGAGAAACAGTTGCCCTTCCATCCAGATGGCTTCCACACCCTGCAGTACCAACGCACAGCCAGTGGGGAACAACGCAGTGAGAGTCCGAGTCGCATAAGGCATCTGGTGAACTCTGTCCAGCGTCTCTTCGCCAAGTCACATTCACTGGAGGCACCCTCTAAACGAGAGTTTAATGGCACCCGTGGGGGAGAGTACCGGGACAGAGATAGAGGACACCGTAGTGGTGGCGAGGAAAGCGGTGGACATCATTATTCAGGAACGCACCAGTCTCGTTCAGCCCGTCGGAACAAAAGCCGAGAACGAAGCAAGAGTGGAGACTCCCGTCACGAGTCTCGAAGCTCCCGCCACCGGAGCAAAACAGCTGGATGGTGGAGTTCCGATGACAACCTGGACAGTGACAGCAGCTTTCTGGTGGGTGCAGGTAGAGGGGGACGTGGATATCCCACCGGACACGAGACCCTGGATGCTGCCATCCAGGAGCTTACCTTGAGGAAATCTAAGGGACCACCTCCAGGAGAGTGCCTGGCTTGCACCAACATAGCCAAGGCAGGAGAAAGCGGACACTCTCTGAAAAGGAGCACGTGGTCGGCCATGACAGTCAGTCAGGCTAGAGAGGTCTATCCATCTTCCCGTGAAGGAGGAGGTGGAGGTGGATATGAGAAGGCATTGGTTCCTCTAGATCCCAAAATGAAGGAACGATCACTCCACTATCTGCAGGCAAGTTCTATCTATCTATCTATCTATCTATCTATCTATCTGTCTATCTATCCATCCATCCATCCATCCGTCTAAAAAGGCATTGTCAATTAATTCTGAATGGCATACAACCCCCAGTATGTAAGTGAGACAAACTTTTACAACATGTGAGCCCATTTTCAAGTCAGTGCAGTGACCCCAAATTGGCTCCCACTGAGATTTCAATATTTATGTGGTGTCTCTGTTCTCAAATACAATCAGTCTGCTGTCCTTATTGACTTGCAGATTCATTTCATTGTCAAAAGAATTAATCTGTCTGCAGAGATGGGGATCAGCACTAAATGACAATTTCTGAGTGAAAGAAAAAAAATAACTTGATGATTATGTTTGTTATCAGCTGCTAGCTGTGAAGAATTGAGGCTGATGCTATTTCCAGCCTCTGTCAGCTCAGTGTGAAAGGGTGAAAAACATCATTGGAGGATACAGGAAAACAACACATTAACCCTTGGCCTTCACAAAACACACTGTGAACACTCACAAACGCTGCTATTGATATCACCAGCAAGCTGTGTGCTCCATTTCTCCTACTCATCTGCTCAATTGCACACACAACTCTGACATCCTGCTTTGTGATATCAAGTATACAAGAATACAGGATGCTTCTTAGCATCATAATTCAGCATTATTAGTGTCATGTGTGACTGCCTGGCAGTGGTTCTCAAACTTTTTTGGTCGCGCCCCCGTTAAACCTATAAAAAAATGCCCCACACTTTGAGAATCACTGCTATATGGTTTAAAGGGGTCCTATTATGCTTTTTCACTTTTTCAACTTTAGTTAGTCTGTAAAGTTGCTCTTTGAGCATAAAAACGATCTGCAAAGTTACAAAGCTCAAAGTCCACTTCAAAAGCAGATATTTTATTTAACAGAAATCACTTTTCAAAAACTACAACGAATGATTCCTTATATTTTCCGGGATTTGTGAAATCACAAATATCAACGAATGAGACGAGACCTGGTTGAGCTGCACTAGAGAAGGCAATGAGTGTTATCACTATGTCAGAGACACGCTAGCTTTCCCAAGGCAGATAAACTTAGAGTGGTCTCAATGATTTGATTTTGACGCAATATTTACACTGAAGCTCGCAGGAAGCTATGGTAAGGGACATGACATTTTCCGACCAGGTGTAGAGTGCTGCCAATCACAACACACACTGGCCCAGCTAACCAATCACAGCACATTTCGTATTTCAGAAGGTGGGCCTTCATTTTATACAGGAACTATTCGAGCCGTTCATGCCAGACTGGGGAGAGAGGTGTTGTAATAATGTAAAATATGTGAAAAATAATGTGTTTTTCGAACAACCTAGTATGAGAGCCTGTTCTAGTACACCCCCAAAACAAAATCGAGACTTTGTAAAAGAGCATAATAGGACCCCTTTAAAGGGGTCATGAACTGAGAAATCAAAATTCCCTTGATCTTTTGACATATAAGAGGTAATTTTACTATAAAAACATCCTGTAAGTATTCAGAACTCAAAACTTTCTCGTTAGTCTAAAAACAGCTTATATTGAAGCCAATCTTCCAAAACAACATGTTGTGGAATGTGCCACTTTATGATGTAATAGTGTGGCTAAACACCGCCTCCACAGAAGATCAACACCTGCTTCTACAGTACTGCCTGTTTAGCCCCGCCCACAGATTCATGCATGTAGTGTAAATAACGAGAGAGGCAAATGCAGTTCTACGCAGAAACCAAACGACAAAGATGGCTCTGAAGACAACAGGACACTGTACAATGCAAAGTTGTGGAAAACAGTCTTTGCATCGCGTTCCTTCTGATCCCAGCATTAGGAAAGAGTGGATGAACTTTATTTTTAATGATGTTCCAGACCGCGTCAGTAAGAACTTGGTCCTTTGTTCACTTCATTTTACCACAGATTCGTTTACAAACAAAGCACAGTTCGAAACAGGATTTTCATAAAGATTGAAATTAAAAAGACGATGCTGTGTCGGCTATATCGGATACGATATTAATGTTGCAACCCAAGTGTAAGTAACTGTTTTTATTACATGTTCACTATTGCTTTGTTATTATAGATCGTTTGATATAATAATATAGATATTGATAAGATTTTGACTTTTTGTTAAACCTATGAATGAATGAGTACCACAGTACTTTTTGAAAAAGGATGTTTAGTTTTGAAATTATTTCAAATAAGTCTCCAGCAATATATGCTGTTAAAATCACAACTTCAGAAAACACATGAACAATGACACACACTGACATCTGTAAGTCCTGTCCTAAGGTGTACTGTGTGTCCTTCTGGTTCCTTGATGAATGAGGAGCACATAGTGTAATTGGACTCAGTTATTGTTTTCCTTTCTGTCTTTCTCTTTCTTCTCACACATATACTGTTAGGCTGTTAGACTCACCCACTGCGAACACATCTAGACCTGCTACCACAAATACTTACAAACCCGATTCCAAAAAAGTTGGGACACTGTACAAATTGTGAATAAAAACAGAATGCAATGATGTGGAAGTTTCAAATGTCAATATTTTATTCAGAATACAACATAGATGACATATCAAATGTTTAAACGACACACAAACGGGGGAGGAAACTATATCTGACATGACATCAGGTTAAATGAGGATAATTGTTCTCCTATGCACTCTATCACACCTCCCATCGAGTGTCAGCATATGGTTATGTTTCTAAGGTAACATGATGGAGCTCTAAGAGCAATGTCTCCAAGATGCTTCAAGAGACCTTCCTGCAAAGCTACAGTACTGTTAAAAGTTTTAAAAATGAGGATGCTGTCAAAAATAATGTCAGTAATAGATTTTTATTTATCAATTAACTTATATTAACTAAATTAAATCAACATTTGGTGTGACCACCATTTGGGTTTAAAGCAGCTTTTGCCCTAGGTGCATTAGCGCATAGTTCTTCAGGGAGGTCTCTTGAAGCTTCTTGGAGACGTTCCCACATTTCTTCTGGATTTAGTTTGTCTCAGTTTGTTCTGTTTCTTCATGTAATCTCAGACAGACTGGATGATGATGAGATCAGATCTCTGTGTGGAGCACTGGCTGTTGTCAGAGATTGTTGCGCAAACAAAAATCTCACTGGATTATCACAATTAATGGCTAAATTGATGTTTGGAAATGTAAACTGATATTTCCTACTGACACACTACAGCATACGATAGAAATTATTAACTAAATTAAATCAACATTTGGTGTGACCATCCTTTGCATAGCAGTTTTCTCCCTAGGTGCACATAGTTTCTTAGGTAACTTTGCAGGTACGTCTCTTGAAGCATCTTGGAGACATTGCCACAGTTCTTCTGGATTTAGTCTGTCTCAGTTTGTTCTGTTTCTTCATGTAATCTCAGACAGACTGGATGATGATGAGATCAGATCTCTGTGTGGAGCACTGGCTGTTGTCAGAGATTGTTGCGCAAACAAAAATCTCACTGGATTATCACAATTAATGGCTAAATTGATGTTTGGAAATGTAAACTGATATTTCCTACTGACACACTACAGCATACGATAGAAATAACTGACTTAAAACCATTTTTAGCTGGTGAAAATACTAGTGTTCTAATAATTTTGGCCACCACTGTATATAAAGAATAAAAAAGAACGGCTTTGACATTTTTCTAATTACTCCTTTTGTGTTCCACAGATGTTTAGTTTTTTTGTCTAAAGCAAACATTCTGTGGAAGGTGTGACTAGACTTTACTAAATTTAGATGTAAGTGGGTGATTTCTGCAGCGTTTTAGATATTTTTCCCCCAGTTGCCTGCATGACACTTCTTTTCTTATAGTAGTATTGAAAGAAAATATCAGGCTGTGCAGGGGAAGTGGTATGTCAAATAGCTTGTGGCCTTCTGGTTATCATTTTTGTTGCATTCATGCTATGTCGCATCATGCCTGGACTTCAAACACCTGGTGCACAATGAAAAGAAACCCCGTTTCAGAACAGTATAGACTGAATAGCAGCTGTGAGGAAGCACAATAAGCATCAGGTGTACCACATCTCATGGCTGCTCTCTCCCCGGGCTCTTCAGTGGGAGAGAGAGAAAAGTCAATGCTTTGTGATGGACATAACAACTGTGCTGTCTCTTGCATTATCTTCTATTGTTGCCCAGGGCGACAGGAACCTGCATAGAGGTCTTGCCCTGACACTAATTTAACTTCCTGTAATATTAGCTCTTGCAAGCTCCAATTACACAGAACATCAGCTTCACCCTGATAGAAAGACATCTGGTCAGTCACCACTATTGTTTAGCTAATTTGTCACAGAGAGACAACCAGTCAACATTCATACACTCCCACGCAGTATGATATACATCTGTAAATGGTTACTGTGTAGCTAGATACTGTACACTGTCATAGCCAGCAGTGTTGGAGAGTAAATAACTATAAGTAGCAACATGTCTAACTAAACTACATTATTCAGTTGCATGACAGCACCTCAGTTTTTTTTTTTAAACATCACAGCTTTTCTGGTAGCAAGCAAATTTTTCTAATGAGTTGCAGTGTGTAGCATGACAGTTACTATATTGCTGTTGCTGTTCATATTATGTTGAACAATACAAGCTGATAATCAAACATGCTTTCTTAAAAAAACACTTTCTCTATATGTTGAGAATTCCAAATCATTTTAGATAATTCGTTTTAAGGATTCACGATTAATCTGATTGTCCCTGCACTTTTTTGTAGCAAAACTGTTTTCAGCATTTTAATTATGTATTTTAGATTTTTTTTCTATAATGTTATCATGTAGTATTTAGTATATTCAGTGCAAATTTTGTGAATTATTATGATCAGAATAGAGATTGCCACCTTGTTTTAATTTAAGACTGGTCGTAACTTATTTAATTTGGTTAAAAAAAATGTAGATTTAGACTGATTACTGAGAACGCCGGCTCCTGAGTCATGATACTCTCGTGAATGAGCATCGAAGACTGACAAGGAAGAGACGAAATTGTTGAATAACGTTGTTAT